TAATAGAATCAAGTTGTACTTATATTATATTTTAACAATTAAATCAAATTAATGTCAAAAAACATGTTAAACCAAATATATACCAATTATTTTCCAAACTAAAATTAGGTTATGAAATTACTAAAACAACTTTAATCAATCACGACAAGGGAAGATTCATTAAATATGTGCTTTTATAACTAGAACAACATTAATTTTTTGGGTGTATGTATAATTGTCCTAATTTTTTACAATAGTTGTATAGTTTGGACTGAAAATGATATTTCTTTATTAATAGTAGTATTAATAAGGTTTTTACTCTCCTTTTTTCATATGGAAAACATTGGGGTGATAGAATTATCAAAAAGTATTGTGTAAGGTGTAATTTGCATAACACTTACGTTAAAATAGGGATGAGCCATTTGATATTAAGGGTTGCCCCTCATCTAACAACCCTTCTTTTACTGGCATAGGAAACTCTAAAATTATATTCTCCACTTTAACTTCATGCAATTTTACAATGGGAAAGTCTAAAGCTCCCTTCCGACTCTGTAGAGTGAGAATACGGAACTATAACTTTACGTGCATCATAAGTATGGTTTAATTAACTCCATGCACATAGTGTTTACTATCTTTTGACTTGATTGTCTATATATATTCAACATCGATCATCACTCATTCCCAAAAACACAAAGAAAAGTGAAAAAGCTTGTCCAAACTGTATATTAAACAATATTGCCAAGGACATGGATGCACCATCAGCAATGTTTGGAAGGTAAGTCCAACAAATTGTATTATAATAAATATCAATTATGATCACTATTGTAATTCATGCATTGACGTTGCTTGGCATATACATGTGTATAAACAGTGGGATGGCAGCAGCAGCAGCAGCACCATCACCACCACCACCACGATCAATTGTAAGCGCATTTTCAACTCTCTTGAGGAATACATGGAATGCATGGGATGCGAGGGCGATGGTTCTTCTGAGCCTAGTCTTACAAATCTATCTCTTTGTCTTTGGCAACCGCAGAAAGCGCATTGTTAGCAATAATATTAGCAGAATGATTCTCTGTTTTGCCTACCAAACCAAAGATTGGGTCGCCATTGCCGCTCTTGGAAAGCTTTCAAATTCTGATGCAGAATCTCCCACCTCCAATGTTCTAAGAGCCCTATGGGCTCCCTTACTTATACTTCATCTCGGTGGTCCTGACACCATCACTGCCTATTCTTTTCAAGATACCCAACTCTGGAACAGACATCTCCTCACCTTAGTTGCCCAATTCTTTCTTGCCCTTTATGTCATTTATTTGTTATGGACCCAATTTTGGCTTTTCCCTTTTGACACTTCCTCTCAGTATGGCTGGAATCATCAAATATGTAGAGAGGATTTGGTGTCTTAAGGACGCTTTCACTAAGAAAATTCGGAGGATCATCCCCGTTTTTAATGATTTTGACCATCACCCATTTGTAGAAAAACAGGAATCAAAAATAGTCCTCCTAGGCTATGCATTGTTTTCAGCTATTAGACCAGATGTCAATGATTTCCAATGCCATAGGGAGTTTCAGCCGTCCTTTAAAGAGAAGATGCAAGCCTATCTAAGAGAGGCTGCAAAAGGTGGTTCCAGCAATCAAGTCAAGTCAACTTTGCAAGACTACTTGGCTAAAGTTAAAAGCGACAAGCAAAGTAGTAGTTATTTTACTCATTTCAACGTAGCTGTTGCAGAACTG